AGCTTGGCCACTTTACCGAGGCCCCGATGGGGATGAGGTTGGGGATTTTCGAGATAAATTGTGAGCTATAAATTGCTAGCAGCAACTTAGTAGTGCTGCATAGATGTTTGCAGTGGGTTGGTTGATGTGAGATGGACATGGGCTATTCCTGGGCTAAGGCCACAAAAAATAACACACGCAACCCCGGATGGGGGTCAACTTCATGGCGCAAGCAAGGAGAACGAATTACCGTTGCCGAAGAACAATCACCCTCCAGGATGGCTGAACATCCCTGAAACCAAGCCACTCTGAGCTTTCACCTCCGGTTCTTGCAGGTTCAGGCGGCCATTGTGATGCAGCAGATGTTTCGCCACTTGGCTTGAGAATCGTCAAATGTCAAAGCTTCTTTGGAACAAACATGACTCCTTTTTGGGCCGGTTGTCTCAGCTGTTCCGAGCAAATGCTAGCTTTAGCCCTAGTGGCTTGGATTCACTCCTGGCTGAACTTTGACTTTGGCATTTGGGCTGGAAGGATTTGATAGGCTTTGAGGCCTTGCTTGTGCAGGTGCAGTCTGGTATATGCACCACAACAATCTTTGTCATAGGGCCCGGTGGCCTGGCCTGTCACTTCCAATCAGAGAGAGAGAGAGAGAGAGGAGAGTCTTGTGGGCTCGCACCTCCTCGAAATCGGCATAAATGAGCATCAGTCCGTTGGACAAGAGAACATCAACAGAGCAGAAACTGTTGAAGGCAGGGCATGCTCAATTGATGGTACTCTTGCAGACCTCGTGAACAGAGTGTGTGAGAGCCTGTCGGTGCTTTGAAGGATCTGAAGCCGGAGAACTTCCTCTTCGCAACGAAGGAGAAGATCGAAAAGTGTGGGCCTTGGGCCACCTTGGGTTCTTGAGACCTTTCCAACCTGCCGAGATCGATTTGTGCTTTCAGCAAGACAATCTCTCGAGTCATCCTTTCACTTTTGATCAAAGAGATGTGCTGGAGCTCTGGGTCAGTTCATCCATCAAATCGGCATTGCCATCATTTGCTTGAGCCGAATGAGACGTGCACGGGAGACAGATTCTTTGGCAACCTCATGAGCTCATTCCAGCTGGGATGGTAGTGAACTAAGGACCCACCTGAAAATCATTGACTTTGGCTTGGCCTATGAGTTTAAGGCTGATGTGGTGTGCCTGGCCAACTTCCAGAGATGTGTGCGGTTTCGAGCAGTCAAGAAGTAACTTGCCGCTGTAATCGATGAACGCTTGCACGATGACGAGAGTGAAGTCCAAATGAGGAAAAACACCAAGCTGTGCAAATGCGGGCAGCCTTTCTCAACTAGAGTCATCAATTTCTTCAGTCGTGAGCACCGTAGTTTCCATCTGCTCCAATATGCCAGCCTATGACTACCAAAGCGGGCACGCCTTTCTATGTAGCACCTCAGGCTTTTTGGCCTGCAGTGGAAAGAGTATGAAATACAATCATTTGTGAGAAGTAAACAGATAGCTGAGAAGTGAAGAAGGAGTGCAAAAATGCATTGACAAATAGTTGCGCTACAACGACTCTAGCCATGTTTACAGTAGCCATCCTTGCTTCAGATGCACTCGTCTCAGCTGTTTTGCTCAGTTTGTTGAGTCCGACATGAGGTTTTAGAAGGGAAGTACGATCAAGCCGCAGATCTTTGGAGTTGCGGTGTCATTATGCCAGGCTCACAGTTGTTTGCGCGAGCGTTTTAGATCTCATTGTCAGCCCTGCTGTGGTTTGGCAACTGAGGTATGTCCTTCTATGCGGCTATCCCCCATTTTGGGGTGATACAGACAAGAAGGTTCTACAGAAGGCTAGGCCGTGGACAGATGGAGGTGTGTTGCAGACCCTATTGCCCCTAGATCTCAGCCGAGAGAACATTGTTGGCCCCAGCCAACATCAAAGCACAATCAGAATTCAATTGTGCAGTTGACTTCAATGAAGCAAAGACAAGCATTTTTGGTAATGGTGGGTCCAAGGTTTCTTGAACCTTTGGACCACACAGGCCCCACAGTGCCTTTGTTGCTGGCTTGAGCCACACGACCTAGAAGCCAGAAGCAATCTATGTTCATCAGACAGAAATAGATTCTTCTTCTTCTTCATCGATTTCCGTTGCCGGTTTTGTTGCCGGAGCTGCTTAATTGAATTCTTCGCTGCCAGGTTTCGAAGGGCTCCTTTAGCTTTAACCCGGCAGATTGGAAGAACGTGGCTCGATGAGGAGTTGAGAGAGTAGTATTTAAAGAGCACAATTTGTGCTCACTAGACTTTAACATTTGAAACCTCTATCATCAAGCATGGGCTTCCTGCCCGGAATGAATCTTCTTTTGAATTGTCAGTTGCTCGACTTCCAGCCGAAGGCTGAAAGGGAATCAGTGTTCGGGGCAACACAAGATGGCTTGCTTGCGGTATGCAGTACTCAGCGTAGTTATGTTGTGATACAGTGGTTCTGGTGAAGTTGCATCCCTTTACGAAGAGGATGAGCTTTGATACAAAATTGGTACGATTAGTCTGAGCTTCCGACTCTTGAGGTCTCCGAGGATGCAAAGGGTCTCATCCGAAATCTGCTGAAGTTCAGTCCAAAAGAGAGGCCGGTGCACCTGGACCCTTTGTGCGTGTGAGCACGCATGGATGAAACATTTAACATTTGTTGAAATCCGTGAAGCAGGAGCAGGAGGAGTCGAGTTACACCGTTTCTAATAATCTAATAGTGATGGCCTCCAACCTAGCAGTTGAAATCCATGAAGCAGGAGTACTGCACAAACCATTTTGGGATCCAATGGACTTGATCAAACGTACTTCACTGCAAGGATCACTGCCGAGCAAGCGCTGAATGCTGAATGGGTCAGAGCCTTTACTTTTAGATTCACGGCCCTTTGAACTTGAGACTCAGACAAGTTGAGTCGAACTTAGCAAGTCCTTTTAGCAGCTGAGACATAACAGAATAGGTAATCACTGGGCTTGGCCTTGAGATTTTCTCTGCAGAAGATCATTCAAGCACTTTGCCGGGCTTTACCAATCTTTACTAGAGCTGTCTGGAAGGTTTCTTAAACGCAAACATCCCAGGTGAAGGATCACGCGCCCCGCGCGAACGATGTCGCCATCGGCAGCGGCCTGGTCGACAACCTCAGGGGCTTCCGGTCCCAGTGGGCCCTGACATGCTTGGAACGTGGGGGAAGCGAGGGGGGAAGCAAGCAAAGAAGTGTTTGAATTGTAATTTTTGCGGCTAGTTCTTGGATGGTTTCTCATGGATTCATATTGTGTGATGAAATGAATTGAGAACACATGTGAAAGGAGTGAGTTTTAGCACCATCTTTGCCTTGGGATATCGTGGGTTTCTGTCAATGCTACGAGAACTCGGGCTAGGAACAAGCTCAAAAAGGCGGCACTCCATGTCATCGCCGGTCAAATGACCGACTCGCAGATCAAGGACACGGTGTTCAGATCGGAGCCACATGCAGTCTTTGCTTCCTCGTTTTGCATCGCTTTACAGATTGGAAGTTTGTTGGGACCAGTTATATAATGGAAGGAGATGGTAATAAATTCTTGCTCATGGCGGCCTTTTCGCAATATGAAGACCCCGGTTCTTGCTGATAGATGGGTTTCGGTTGAAAGCCGTGCGCGAATCGACGCTGCAGGATCTGCGTGAGACATTCATTGCCATGGATGTCAACGGTGCAGTACTTATACTTGTTTTGCCGGCAGCATTTGCAAGAGCCACTATCAAACTGTTTTTTTTCTTTTTTTCTATTGCTCCTTGACCTGGTGGTTTGCAGGTGACGGCTTGTTGACCGCGAAGGAGACATCTGCTGTTGGATTGACTTTTGCTTTAGCAACTATGTAGGACTTCCTTTTGAGCCGTTGAACAGACATAGGGACTGCCGGTCTGGCTCGAAGTCTCCAAGTTTGCAATATGGGTTTGCCTCGGACCATGCCATTGAGGGGAACAGCAGATGAACCTCGGACCAGATTTATCCTTTATCATGTTATCCAAAAGGTATCGAATCGATGCTTGAGGAGCTTGAAGAAGGCATGCAGAAGGCCCCTGGGACGCCGCAAGACTTCCATTTGTTTGGGAAGACTGTTCGGACACAGCAAGAGTTTGGTTTATGCAAGCCCCAGTAACCTCTCGCTTGCCTTGTTTACCGACTACAGCATTTGCTATAGCTTTGTGTTGTTCGAAGGTTGTTGCTGCACGGTTTTGACAAGAGCTAGGCAAGCTTTATGACAGCTGGGCATCTCTGCTTCAAAAAGACATCGCCGTGCGCAAGTCCCTATGAGGTAACGCGATTCATACAGTACAGGGACAGTTACCTCTGATCTTGATCATAAAAGCACTCAATGCCCTAAAGATGCCGATGGGTGAAGCACATCAAAATGCATGTCTGCTGGGTTCCAGGTTGAAGACTTCAAGGTGTAAGGGGAAAGCGGATCGTACAAACGCCTGCCGCATAAAGCTCCACCCGTATAATCAGAAGCTAACTTTCCCTTTGAAGACCAAATCTAGTGAATCTAGTGACCACATCAATCACGCGAAGGGTTTTCAGGCGCAGGAGCTTCCTTGCAGAAACTTAGGGGGGCTTTTCTGCGTCTCAGCATACAGTAGCTTCCTCACTTACTAGACATATATACCTCTTACGAGTTCGCTACTTGAGCTATTGGCTTACCTCCTCTTACAGCCTCTTCCCCTTTCCAAACATACCACCTCAGTGGCAAGAGAGCGATGCTTGGAGGCTGGTTTGGAGAAAGTTCCGCCAGAGCTGGATGCCATTCTCAAGGATGTTGACAGCAACGGTAGTGGTCCGCTGTCAGCGACGCCGATTGGTATCGGAAGTGCTCGGATGCAGCTAGCAGGCTCCACAAAGAGTTTTGTTCCGATGTTTCAGGAAGAAGAGGGAAGATTAGACAGATTCCTTTGCTAGTAGTAACAGGTGCATCGCTAGTAGTAACAGGTGCCTTACTAGGAAACGGGAATCTCACTGAATCTACGGTAGATATTTATTGGTTTGGGCGGAGACCAACTATCTTTGAGCATGCCCCACATTTGAACATGGTGGTGATATCTGTGAAGGTTGCTCACTTTCAGGCTTTACCACCTGTATGGTGTGCTGTGCTATGTCGGTTTTCAGGTACCATTGACTACACCGAGTTTCTGGCTGCAACACTTGACAGGCACAGGGAGCCAGGGCAGGTGATCCATTTCAATTCAAGGAATGGACAAGGCCTTTTGCCTGGAGTGGTGGAAGCTTCCCTCCTAGAAAAAAGAAAAAGGGGTCTAAACTCTAAACAAAGAACATAATTCCATTCAGATTGTGTAGGGTTGTGAAGTTGTGAAGAAGGTGCCCTACGAATGAGCAATGGTTTGTATGGGTAGCTGTTTCATGGGCCCATTTGGCTGGCCAAGTGCAGTAGCCCGAAGACAGACACTCGAAAGATTTTTCTAAAACCTTTGGACGTAATTTTTTTTGAAGGCCTCTGAGAAGAAATATAGTAGCAAGAAGCGGCTAGGAACAAAGGGCATCGCTACTAGTAGCTTCTTAGCTACTAGTAGCTAGAAGCTACTAGTAACAATTTTCGGTTCAGGCAAGAAGCTAGCCGGCGACGACACAAACACAATGGACAAGTAGCTACTGGACGCAGAAGGGCGATTCCCACCTGAGGGCGGGTAGCTTCCCTCAAAAAGACCCTGTGCATGATTGATTTGATTGCTAGATGTTGAAGAAACTGGACCTTTAGTAGAACAAGGAATAGAAGATCGGAGATGTTTTGATACGGAAGGTGGCTTTGAACAAGGGCTTGATATGAACTGACATCGGCACGGAGTTTTGCTTTGGAGCACCCTTCTCGTAGCACCGCAACTTTTCTGGAAGCCTTGGCAGGAAAAATTACATCGCAGAAGATGTGTGCTGGGCGGCGTTCAGGCGAGTTGTAGTGTTTCAATGTTTCAGGGATGGTGAACTTCAGGCAGATGTTGTTGCAGTTGCTGTTCTCCGTTCCTCTCACTCATGATGCTCAGAACCTCAGGGACACATTTTCGACTGGACAACATTGGGCAACCATATTTGAGCAAACGCATACATACATTTTGGTCGCTGCGGATATTATATATGTATATATATATATTATATACACACACACACTTATACTTATGTTGAAGATGGTAAGTTAAAAAGCTGTACAATGTATAAATAAATACAAAGAACAATCTGTTCTTTGGAAGTGTGCTGTTCTACTCATTGACCCGAGTGTCAAAAGGAGACATCATGCTAGTCCAACGGCAAACCCATTGAACTTCGGCTAGTAGGTATCACTATGACCAGGTGACAGGCTGGATGTTTGACCCTGTGAGCCAATGGTCACTGCAGGGTCTTTGACAAAGACGGCTCTGGCACCATCAGCCGTGATGAGCTGGCACAGGTGGGGTACCGGCGCGCACGACACGATTTCCCATGCTTCTCACTGTGTTCATCTGATGGACAAAGCTGCTTCAAAGGCCTTCCCGACTCTTGTCCTGCAGATTTTCACATGTGTCACCAGTGACAATCCATTTGGCCAGCTCGTGGAGAAAAGAAGACACCGGACACATGCCGCCTTTCCCCCAAAGAGGTTTCGAGCTCATGTTCCAGCTCTGTCCAGAGGTGACTCCGAGCTTTTCACTGTTCGGTCCAAGACTGGAGATGGAGAAATGGCACATGGCCCGGAAGGTCCTCAGCGATGGGGAAGTGAAGGCGGTGGCGCCGAAAGATGTCAGCGAGCTTCTTGAGGACCGAGACCCGCTGACCGAGGCGTCAGCGATCCGGCTTCTTGCAGTCCTTGTGAACGAGGTTTTCTTGATCTGTGGGTGGGTTGGGAAGTTTGGAAGTTTTTCACTATTTCGCAGCAATGTTCTTGAAGGTTTGTATATTTTCACAAGGAACTAATTTGAGATGCTACCCTTTCCAAAGGCCCAGTCAGCCTGTTTCATCCTGTTTCCCTGGTCTCCAGGAAGTCGACAAGAACGGTGATGGAGAGATCGACTTCCAGGACAGCGGGTCATTGGTGACAAGACTGAGCTCACCTGGCGTGGACGTGAACTTTTTGGTTTTTCCCAGGTGTAGTCTTGCAGTTTTTGGTTCAACACTTAACCAGTTATATACTGTGTCTTTAAATACATTTTCTTTTGCCTAGGACTAAATAGGATAAGCCACGAATGATGAAGCTTCAGCCACCAGAGGCACTTCCAGCAACGGACCAGATTTAGATTACTTTTTATTCATTCGGAGGAGTTTATGCAGATGATGAGAAAGGTCAATGAAGAGACAAGTTGAGGCGCCTTTCATGCCGAACCCGAACCGCACGAGTGTTGGTTTTTGAAAGCAGCGCAAGCCACTGCAGCCCATGCCAAAGGGTTTGCAATTAAAGACGCAGGAAAGTTGATGTAGGACAGTATATAGTTGGGAACAACAATACGTAACATAGGTATTTGACTTTTTTTCCTGAGCTGCTACACCGGTCTGGTCCAATAGTGCTAAAAGGAACATGTTTGATTTTCATTGTTGCGTGCATGCTGAGGGAGGCTACGCCACAGGAACTTGGTGAAAGCCCTATATTTTTGCGGGATGATCCATAAATACCTTCGAAAATTTTCATTTGTGAACGGAACAAGTTTGAAAACCGCCTTTACCAGGTTGATACCTGGACTTTGAAACTAAATCGATTATCCAATTTGCACTTTCCTACGTCATGCAGTTTCTGTACTGATGAGCATGAGGGGCGCCTACAGGGGCGGCATTTATTTGACTTTGTTTCACACGTTTTTTTCACCCCGCCTATGGAGAAGAAGAAGAAGAAGAAGAAGAAGAAGGGCTTGATATGTCTCAAGCTTTCTCCTTAGGGTCTATGCCAGATGCATGAGCACTGCAAGAACTCGTCGTTCAGCGCTCTAGGTGCCATCGGTCCCTCCAGTAATCGGTCCCTTGGGTCATCTTGGGTCCCTTGGCCAGGCCATTCACCTTTTTCAAGGCGCCGGGGAACGAAGCGCACCAGAGTTTCGATGCACACCGAGTGCGCTGGGATTGTTCCTCGGTTGCCGTGCCTGAACCGACCTTGGAGAAAATACTCGAAGGAGGTGCCCCATCTCTTCACAGCTACATGCTTGTAAGGTTACACGCCCAATTCCCGTGATTTGCTGTCTTCTCTGTGTGTGGGCATATCGGAACCAAATGATTATATAGTACATCCTTTTACCGGCCTACCCCTGCCTGCAAACTTGCCGGACAGATAAAGAATTCACATAGTTGCCAATCGGCACTGTTGAGAGGATTCTGCAGATTTCGGCTCGAACTGTGACGCGTCATGTCTGATGATGAGGGTCCCCGGAAGGGGAAGGGGAAGTCGAGAGGGAAAGGAAAGGAAGGAGGGAAGTCTGGAAAATCCGGTGGAAAAGCATCTTCAGGAGCTGGGCTTTGGGCGGCAAAGCTTTTCGTTTGTTTTTTTCTATCTCTTTTGGACAATCTACAATAGGAGGTACAGTGAAACGATACTCTATCGTGCTTTACCATACTTTACCTCAATCTATTTGGAACGGTCGAGGGGCCAAGAACTTTGTCAGGAGGAGGAATGTCCGTGAGCCGTTTGCAAGTTTTGCCAAAGTTTTTGCAAGACATCCATGCCAGATACCGACCCTCTGACGACACTTGGATAGACAGGGTGCTCATTACTTTTCCTTTGTCCAGTCCTGGCTGTTTGCAAGCGGTAAATACTCAAGGTGCTGAAGCTGCTCAAGAGGCAAGTACTTTTGAGTTGTAGTCACTAGTCTAGCATATCACAATGGACTGCACATCGTCAGGAATCGCAATCATTAATTGAGTTCTCAACAGTTCTAAGGACAAACGGGGCCTGAAACATGCCGAGATTCTGGACAAAAGTTCTCCACTTGGGAGGAATGACGACGATGAGTCTTGACATAGTTGGCCTTTTTCGTGGTTACTCTTGTATGTTATCATTTGTGTTATTATGTTTATTGTCTTTGTGGGCTTGTGGTCCTTATGGTCCTCAAACGAAGGCCTTGTGATGTCAAAACACGACTTGTGCACCAGGAATATGATTTTGAAGATGCGCAGATTGTGGACAGCAATCTCACAGAAGAAGATATCAAGGTGTTTCAGCGCAAAAGAGCAGAGAAGGCGAAGCCGCCTGAAGCTGCGAAAGAGGAGGAAGGTGGTGCCCTACGCTTTCAAAAGCGGAAGGGCGAAGCCAAGAAGCCGGATGGCCAAAGTGCCTCTGCGCTAAAGCAAGATGGACAGTATGGTGCAGGCTTGTCAAAGAAGAAGCAGAGGTTAAGCTTCAACGAAGATGAGGAGGATTGATTTGTCCGAAAATTGCTAATGCCCCATGCACTCCAGGTTTCTGTCTCACAACATGGAGCAGACGGAGTACCCTTCCGCTTAGCTTTGCAAAAAAGGCACTAGACGGTCAGACGGTGGGTCTTGGGTTTGAAGGCAGTAAATGGCTAACTTCCCGAAATCCCACTGGGGGCCGACACCAAGCCTTCTTGTGCCAGGCTGGCGACGCTTTCTGGGCAGTGTGAACGGGCAAAGCGGAGCTTCGCCTGGGGCTGGAAGGGTTTGCCAGCGCAGGTTTCAAGCCTTTTCTACTTTTCTCCGTTAAATCACCAGCAGAACCGGATACTGTAGACCTCATAAAGATCATAAAGCAATTTGAGAGTGAGTTTGTTGATTCAAAGGATAGCTCTGTTCAATAAGGGCTATTCAATTGGAAGATGCAGCATGCTTCGGCTTCGACACCATGCAAGTCAAGTTTCAGAATTCAATGTGCTGTATCGGTGAATTATCATGTATTCGGTGGATGATAAACATGTGTAAAGATATCCGCGGTGCACTAGAGCGCGCTTGCTGCCGCTATTCTCTCCACCTACAAATCGCGATGAAGCATCACAGCCGCGGCAGAGCCCCTGACCCTTTCCAAATGACAATTCTGAATCCAAATCCACCAGCCATCAGCCCAACTCCAAATCGTTGCTTGGATGACCTTGAGAAGGAATTTTGCATCATGACAAATCAAACAGGTTTGAGCGGATAGGACAAGCCTTCCACTTTGGATGAGGTCCATTTTGATCCACCTCTTCTACCTATTGCGATTGACAGTGCAATCTACTCTGACAGTGTATTTGCAACATTTTTCGGGGTGCCCTTTTGGCAGAGGTTGCATTCCACCGTGTTGATGGCATGGGGTTGATCGTTGGATGGACAAGCGGACAAGAGATGGGGTTGATTGGGGGAGCTTCAGTCCCCTTGGCTATCGTCCAAGAAGCCATGGGCTGCACTTTTGTACTGTCCCCTATATCAAGGGTTCGAATCTATTTACGTGCAAGTTGTCCAGATATACTAGACGTGCCTAGTGCCAAGTCTCGAGGTCATGCCTAGCTTGTCTGCATGAGCATCCACAGGGATGTCATGCTCGTCAGACTTCACCATGGCTTGGACCCTCGGCTTAAAGAGCTGGTTCGGTCCTTGACATGAGATGAGAGCGCTCTCGGTAGCCAGAGGGCCTGGTAGAGTGGTCTTGCGATGAAATTTCTTGATGTCTTGGACCCTGATACTCTATAAACTGTCGAAGACTCTTCAAGACTTGAGTTCATAGAACATCAGATCACATTTAAACTCTGAACACACCTGTTATTGTATTATTGTTTTGACTTGTTGGTTTGTTTCCATTGTTTGTCCCCTTTCATCGTGGACGCACTTTATCCGGTCCAGGTCTCCTCTCTCCCGTTTCACACCGCCAGCGCGCCCTGCACAACGCCAGTCCGTTTTCAATTCCCAGAAACGAACATGAGAATGGAACTCGTTTGGACATTCTTCAAAGGACACCTCCAGTTGATGGGCACTTTGGATTCATTCCACTTTCATGTTAGTTTCTGGGTTCACACCAAAGGCTGTTCCAAAACTCGGTGTCGTGCCTGTTAGCAAAGGCGATTACGTTGGCTGCGCAGGAGCTCGAACCACGGGCTCCAGCGCGCCGGTTGGCAGGCTCACAACCTGAGCACCTCCAGGGTCAAAACGGTTCTACTTCCCATAAAACATTCAATGAGTCTTTACACCCACACACATGTATCTGATGATTTATCTTGCAAAGATTTTATAACAAGAGGATCCCAAAGACAAGTGTCTTTTATCTTCAGTGCCCACTGACCTGGGGATGTACAAGGCCCCAGGTGAAGCTGAGGAAGGCGCGACTGACCGGGACAAAATGTAGAAACGGACCAACCGAGGTTTTCTTTGAGGAACTTTGAAGCCGTCCTAGGAGCAAGGTCGCTACTAGGGGCTCCTGGCCTTACTACTAGGAGCAAGAAGCTACTAGGGGCTCCTGGCATCGCTACTTGAGAGGATTGAAGGAAGATATATGCTTCAATTTTCCGCAGCCTCAGGCTTTCTGAACAACTTGCAATTGGCCTTGCCAACCTTATTTCCTCCCTCCCAACATGGTGTGCAATTGGTTGGGTAGAGTAAAGTGCTTAAGGTGGTTTGTGTTGTTCCACTATGATGTTTTGCTTGCTTCCCGATAGTATCCTGCCTGAGGAACAAGGACTTTGGGGCTCAAGCGCGTTGAGTCAGAGCCAACGCCCTAGCGCTTAACACACACGCACAAATCAGACAAGACTCACAATCTCACCTATCCAAAGCGCAACACTTGCACCTTTATTTGCTGATCCCTGCAAGCTGTGGCATCATCAGCCAGCTTGAGAAGGCGACACAGACAGATTTCAGACTTAGACACATCTATCAATATGTATATACAACATACTGTATATAAAATCAATATATATATATATATAATAAGCACGTTCAGCTGCCAATCCCCCTGGTTGGGGTAAATTGCACAATGGAGAGCAAGTCAGAAAGCTCAAGGTCAGGAATACCATGTAAAACCTGCCCAGCAGATCAGATCCTACTTGCCGTGCCCAGCAGAGCATCCGCCTGGAAGTTTCAGGCAGGGCTGCGGGGCATAGACCACTGATCCACCAAATTGGTGTCTTGCATTTCGAGTGTTCTCGCAGTTTTGAGGATTGCTCATCCTTTGCCAAGAGCTAACAACACAAGGAAAGACTGTTTCAATTGAACAGGTCCAAGGATGTTTCTTCATGTTTGAGACGGCCTTTGACTTGCTGAATTCAACCAGGCCGGACTTCTGCAGATGGTCTCGCCGGATCTCTCCAAGCAGCGGGCAGTGTGGGATCACAGGCATCCCTTGCAGACGGGGGTCGATGGTCATAAACCTGCAACGAAGGAACTAGAGCAAGTTCCTTTGGAAGGGAGCGATTCCCATCTAGCTTCAGAGGCTCTACCTCAGATGTGCTTAGACGGCGGTGGTGTTTCGCACGTTTCTTTTTTATTTTTTGGTGTGGTAGTTGCGGTACTTTTGAGGTGTCCTTCAGCACCACATTGGAGAGCGTTTACAGTAATGTGTGCATGTGTGGGGTGGGGCAGGCAGGTGCGGTGGGGTGGGGGTAATAACAATCGGTTCACATGCTATGCTATGCCATCGCTGTGCTTTTGGGCATCGTGCCAGATGACATGTGCTGTGTGCTGTGCATGGACTGGGGCAATAACATTCGGTTCGCGCGCTACGCCATTAGCTGTGCTTTCGGCATCGAGCCCTACGTGACGTGTGCATGCGTGGGGTGGGGTGGGAAGAAGAGTCTCAGAGTACACTTATATACAAGTGCAGCATTGTTCTTGAAGAAAGTTAGCATCGACGTTGAAATGAAAGAAACGTGGCCGACGGAGCTTGCATGGAAGACTTGCGTTGGAACACGTGAAGTTCTCGAAAAGTCACATGTTCAATTCCCCCCGCAGTCAGGCGGAGGCATCAATGACACCGGACGAAAAGATCAGACACCCACTCAGGCTAAAGGTTTCCAACTTATGTGCAATTGACAAATCCATACAACACTTCACGATCTATGAGCCGTGGACCTAGTATACAGTGGAACTTGGTTGGGGAATCGCTCGGGCACGCCCGCATGTGCACCGCGAATTCGGATCACTTGTGCAGCACAGGATTTTGTGCTCTTGGATACGTTTTCCATCGTTTTCCACAAGCAAGTGTGTTTTAAGTTTTGAAGACAGAAGTTTTCCTCAAACTCAAAGTGTTAACCAGCACATTTTCACAACAAGAACAAGACCGACAAGGGTCAGCAAGCAAGACAGTCGAAACACAACTGTAAGGCTTGAGCACCTCGGAGTAGGTGAAGAGGGTTCCAAGAAGGCAGAGCATAAACACTCAGAACACGCCTGAAGAGGGTGAAGACCGAAGAAGAACAACAACTTGAACATGATAGAGGAGGTTGAGAACCAAACAAGTGATTCACAGTGCATTGTGCGCAAGTGAGCCAAATCTGTGGTGCGCAGGCTGTCTCCGTATGCAACTGTCTCCGGATCTCCGATAATTGTCCTTCCACATGTACTCAGAACCAAGGCAGAAGCCTCCATGAACCTCACCAATCCAGTGGCTTGGAGTGCCGAAGTGGATGGTTGATGTAAGAATCGGTTTGCCCTTGCGGTTTACCACCGATGGACCAATGGGGTATATATCTAGATAGATATATGTGTATAATTGTATATATACATATATTATTTGTTTGATTATCTGTATTGATTCATGACTGTGAGTTTCACATGCTCATGTGTTTTCCTTTCCATTCACATTGAGGCTGGTTCCTACAAAAGACTGTTGAAAGATGCAGCCAGACAGGCGGGCCTGCAGCAAAGGTGCTGGCACTGGCTACGAAAAGAGTCTCCACAAATGTTTTGGAGGTTCTTTGGGTATGTCTTCAACAGAAACAAGAAGCTACTAGGAGCAAAGGGCATCGCTACTAGTAGCAAAGACGCCACTAGGGGCGCTCCTGGCCTTACTACCAGGAGCAAGAAGCTACTAGGAGCGCAATGATGTTTTTGCAGGCGGACATAGAGAGGCCCAGCCTTGAGGAGTCAGGGGCGCGAGTGTGTTCAAAAACTTGGGTAGGTCGGGGGTCGGACGGGGCTCATCGCAAGTTGGCGAGGGTGAAGATATGATGCGCAGATGTACAGTAGCACGCTTCCTTACAAGTGGCAACAGAGTCCAAAAATCGAGTGTTTGAAGGCTTGCTTTGCGGCCCTGTTGTCCACTTCACAAAGAATGCTTGCCAGCATGCACTGCAGAGGTTGCCGTTCGTTGATTCTGGCTTTAGGATACAAAAGAGTTTCGGAACCAATTTCGTTGTTGCGAAGTAGTTTGTCATTTGCTCTAAACATTTTGCATAACAGGATTGGCAGAATGCCCGCGCACATTTCAGCACACCCAGGCTAAAATCCCAGATGAAGCTGGAGCTGAGGCGAGGCAAAGATGACGAAGGATCTGATGCTGTTGACAGATAAGAACGATAAGAAGTTCCAGGCACATGTCAATAGACCACAATGATCCTCGATGAATATACAGTAACGCGGAAATTGCTTTACATTCGGATAGATCCCACGGAGTGTGAGTGCTCCTCCACTTCATGGGAGACTTCAATCACAAGTGTTTACACTTCAGACCTCGCTTGCTCTGAGGTTGTCGCCGTATTCCAAGGTGTTCATAGCTCAGATTCAATTTTTTGCGTGACAATTTTGAATGTTGGCTTGCTACATTCACCTTGGAAATTAAATAACTTCAAAGACACTACCGGACACGACTTAAACCATCCAATCTCATCGACCCAGGACGTAATCTCAATGTGAATAATGTGGGTTCGAGGCCATGCCCCGTCTTCTTGGGAGGCGCCCGGATCGGATGGATATCAGAAGCATGAAAGAATGGATTGAATGAATATTTCTAAAGGAAGGAACATAATTCTATAATAACATATTTCAACACATCAATCCATTCATTAAAATCTTCAACATTGCAAGATTTTTTTATATACATTATTGAAATCGCAAGGTAAAAATTTATTACAATACCAATAATAGAAAAATTATATTATTTATAGAATTTAATTTTATATCAAATATATATTATATTTGAATTGATTAATTTATAGAATTTACTTTAATATTAATAATTTAAATAGAAATATATATACAAATAATAAATATAGGAAATATAAACATATATTAAATTTATAAAATTGTATAAAATTTAATATAATTTAATTATATATAATATAATATTTATATTTATAATTATAAAATTATTTATTGAATAATTTATATTTAATACTGATATTTAAATTAAAATTGCTAATATTATTTATTGGTATAGGATAAGGAATATAAATGTATGTATATATGAATAATATTATTAAAAATTTTTTGAGATTGGTGATTAATATCGAAATATTGTTTATTTTTTTTTGTTTTATTGTATGTTTAAGTAGATTTAAAATATATATAGATATGGAAACGATTAAATTGATTATAATATTTTTTGTTTTTTTATTTTATTTATATTTATTATTTTGATTGGTAATATGCATTAATTATTTTATATTGAATATATATTTATTTATTTTTATTTATTTTTTTTGGTATTTTTTAATTGTGGATATTAATTTGCATTATTTATTGGAGGAGGAGGAAGAATAGGAGGAGATGTAATTGAATGGGATTAATGTGTTTTATTTTTATTTTTTATTTAATAACATATAATTTCTTTTATATTTTATTTTTATTTTCCGGTTTTTATTTTTATTTATTTTTTTATTTTCTTACGGTTTTGTTTGTTTTACTTTGATTGGCATGAATTCCCTCTTGTTTTTTTTTTCTTTTTCTTTTTTTTTTATTTTCTTTTTTGTTTGCGTTATTTATTGTTTATTAAGTTCTTCGTTTGGTTATTTTTATTTTTCTTTGAATTTGATTTATGTTTTTTTTCGATTCTTTAAAGGAAATCGATTTGGGAAGGAGGGAGTAAAACGAAAACAAATATTTGGCGTAATCGTTTATGGGAACCGGGAAAATTTTTAGTAGATGATTTTGAGAATTTAGTTGTTTTTTTTAATCACCGGTTTTATCTATTTTCTATTTACTTGGCTAAAATATTATTTATAACCCCTTTTTTATTAGTGGAAGTCCGTTTCTGTTTGCTTTTCTTCGGTTCCGAAAGGAACGTTCGGTATGCCGAAGAATTTTAAATCATTTTTGGGATAGAATTAGATTGTGGAAAATTGTGGTGAAGCAGATTGTCGGGAGCTCTTAGAGAACGGTTACTAGAAGATAAGAAGAAGAGATTGTTATTCGCGTCCGAACGCGATGTTTAGCAATAAAAGAACAATTCCGAAGACGATTTTTCAATCGTTTTTAGGGGAATTTAAATTATAAAAAATTATCTATCAAGATCGAAATTACAATGCATTTATAATGGGGTTCCCTAGAATTTATCAGGGATAATTTATCAATTTAATTAAAGAAAAATATTTCTTCACCATTTAAAAACATAATTCCTTCTATATTATTTCTCGAAATATAGAAAATCTATTATGTAATTAAAAACGATATTCCTAAATTCGTCTTAATAACCGACATATAATCAAAACAATAAAATAAAAAAACAAATAAATTCAAAAGAAACACAAAATATATAAAACCTATTTTAATTCTAAATATATCATGCATAAAATACATATAATATATATCTTTACATTTTTACATGCTTAATATTTATATTTGCAAATACAATCATAAATAATAAAATAAAATGCCTTAAATACTATCGACTATTAAATTTATACGCAATCATCCGTATATACTAATTCCGAAAATTATTATCATTTATACCGCACCAATATATAATATAATAAAATTATAAACAATTCTTATAATAAAAATCGCTATCATTTACATCGCACCAAAACACAAACATTTAAATATCCACATTTAAAGAAAAAACATAATGCAAAATTCATTTTTTTTACCTTTAAAAACATATTTAAATGCAATAATTAATTCTTATATAATATTAAATTAAAATATATATTCCGTAATTTAAACGAACATAATATTAAAATAATAAGAATCAAATTCAAAAATATCTTCCTTTTCTCCTAGCCCCCGCCCCCGAGCCCCAAATACCTAATATCCAACAATCGGCGACAAGGAACGGAATCCTTATAATAATTAATATTTTATTACTATTATATATTCAAATATATATTTATTTTAATAATCGATAATATATTCAAATTTCAAGTATAACTAATTATTTATTTTTTGTATTTGGAATTTGTATGACTAACTTTGAATCAATGCCATCAAACGTTGCTTGCATCAGGCAAGCGGCCCAGATTATCAATCGATGAATGGAATCTGCAGGCTTAAAGATCTGGGACGCTCGCAGCACTTGCATTGAGTCTCTATTGGACCTTTGGCCAATACCGATACCATGAGCCTTCGTGTTTTCCCAGCTGGTATCATCTGAAGGTGAAACCAATCGAGCGCAAGGAATTAATAATGCAGAAAAGGCGGTGTGTTCTCTTGTCAGGTGTCTTCAAAAGACATGTTTGTTGCGCCAGGCTCTTTGATCTGGCCATGAGCCAAGAATACTCAACTCCGCCTTTATACACTAAACTCTAAACAAACAAATGCTATGGCATTCAAGCACACGTGCCTCGATTTTTAGCTCGCCCAGTGGCGTGTTGAACCGGGCTGCCCTTGTAGCAGCCACATATTCAACTCCTGGCCGGCTCCTCCTGCCTTCTCTTTTGACTTATTGAAATGTGAAAAAGAAATCTACAAATTACAGTTCAAGGGGATCGATGAACATAATGTTCCTTTGCACTTCGGGCTTTTAGCTCCATGGACATACAAGTACAGCAAAGAGATGCACTCCGGCAAGCTCTGGATATTGCTTCTTCCCCCATGGATGTGTACGGGCATTTTAGTCGGCTAGAGTGATTTCACGAGCAATATGAGATTTGGAAGACTTCATGTGTTTCGCCACCGTAAACACATTCTATTCTCCACACACTGCAGGACAGGCAGCATGCAAATCGTTCACAACCTCAATCTGCAAACTCGCATTGGTTCAACTTGCGGGAAGGGGTGAAACCTGAACGACGAGGTGTTGTTGCTCACTTCACAAATTGTACGGATTTCCCAATGAATTCATGATCAATTGGACATCAAATACGAATATGCCTTTGGATTATCATTTTGGATCGTTCTGTGCATCACCCACATCCGAGCCAGTCCTTGGTCGATCAAAAATCGGCGTCCCAACCAGGAGCTGGGTCCTGGTAAAATCAGCTCAGCCAGGGAGAGGCTGATAACTCGAGTTTAACCGATTGGATAGAGATCAGCATGGGGCAATGGAACATTAACATGGGCCTGATGACAGGGAGTGAAAAAATATGAACAGTTCTGGCAATTTTTGATAGAACCATCCCACCATCCACCCAACCACCTGCTGTCCTCCCAGGGCTCCTCTTGCGCAGCACATCTCGCCTAGCGAAACAGCGAGACCAAGCCAGGCCTCTTCCTAAACCATCCTCAGGGTGGGGCAAACGGGCAAACTATCCCATTGGAGGTGTCATCTACCACGAACCCCTGTGGGGCTGTCTGGCTGTCCCCCAGGTTTCTTCGATGTTTCAAAGTTTCTGGTGTTTTCCATCCTCTGTTGGTGACCCAGAATGACCCAGAAGTGCATGTCTCAGACTCATTTCCCATCAGTCAGTCTTCAACCTGACTTTTGCCCCTTGGAACAAAAGAACAAAGCTCTGAGTGCTCCTGAACTGTGCACAAAGCACATTGAGGACATTTAATTCCCTATGGCACCCTATGCTTTCCAATGCCCATGCTATGCTATGCCAGGCCAAACCTCCTCCTCCTCCACTGTTGGCAAATGGTCGGTGTCTGCAGGAAGGTTCGGCTTTTCTTTGTCCTACCAAGCGAAACGTGCCAACGACACACAACGCGAAAAGCAAACCTCTGCAAAGGTGTTCCATACCACTCCGGTAAGACCGAAAAGAGTATCCTCTTAAGTGTTTTGACCCAATTACTTGCTTGGTAGTGAGCGGGCAAACTGCGAGGCTCAAGACTCGTGGTACCTCATGCCAAAGTATAACAGCTTTGATTGTTAATGGTATCTCGTTTGGTCGTTTGGTCACCTACGGTCAAAACTGTTACTATCATTCATTCAGTAGCATGCATTTCGGAAGATCAATCACTCACTCTTCTCAGTAGCCCGAATGAGGTCGTTTGAGTCTGACCCGAAGACAAGGGTCCTCTGCATAGGTTTCGCTACTGGGAACGAAAGGAGGTTCTAACTCTCGGCCCAGCAGCTTCTCCCAACCTTACGGTGCAAAAATGCCCAAGGAATCGAGCAGGAATTCGGAAAGCTTTCCAAAATTTGACATGACACAGATATAGAGAGGCCCCAGCAAGTGTTGGACGAAAACGAAAGCTTCAGTTAAACCGGGATATTCACACCGCTTCGCGGTAGAAGCCGCCCGCACAGATTAAATGGATAATGTGTCAGTAGCACCCCACGAGGATACAGGTCGGTTACTGGTGTGGGAAGCCGCAACTTGTGCTGTCGGAGCCGGTCGGTCTGTCTGTGTCTGTATCGGTCTGTCAGTCTGTCTGTCTCTTTCGGGCAGGACAAGCGGACGAACACGCCCACGATGTCATTAATGCAGCATCCCCCAGGCTGCGTGCCCGGCATCGCGAACGTTTACTTCCGAAGCCATACAGTTCTTATCCATCTTCAAAAACAATCAAAAACACACCATTTCCAAAAACATGAAAGCCCCCCCAAGCCAAAGCTTATTGAGCGGATTAATTCAACAGCTATCTTGCGGTTTGCGCGAAGCCTACACAACGCCTCAGCACCTTCGGTGCGGGCGGATTTGCATCATATCAACATTTGATTGCTTGCATCTCGCAATCTCTTCACAAACTTGAACAAGTGGTCAAACTTGGTTCGTATTGGTATAACTAACTGTATATAACATAACATGTCGAAGAAAGCAAGCAAAACATTGCTGAATTGCTGGGGCAAATACACAGGTCGTTGAAGAACGAATGCTTCTTGAGCTTCGCGTAGCCTTTCATTGCAGTTGTTTACCAAACAGTGGAACATAGTGGAACTAAGCAAGTTCAAGTGTCAACCCACACTTTTACCATTGGTTCCACCTTCGTGTCCGGCTCCCAGCCGCTTCTTTGGGTCTCGCGTCAACAAGCCGCGGATTAGACCTGCAGGAAAGCTGGAGTGCCAGATCAATGGATTTGCTGGAGGCAAAGGGAGCCAGGTTGAATGAATTGGCAAGCCCAAAGTAAACCATCTCTATAAAGTCGCGTAGCTGATCTCTGTCATTTACAGTAATTTAATTTGACCGTACACGAGGTCATATCTGCAACATCCTGCAGCCAATGAAATGATGATGTGGTACAGTAGTACACATTAGCATCTTCTGCTTTTTCCCTGTTGTGTCTCTTGAACCTATTCCGCTTGGCAAAACAGTCTTTTCTGGAACTGGGAGCTATTGAGGTGCTGGCTCATGATATCATCGGCCATGGGCTGCTTGTCGAACCTGGCTTTTGACTTTAATCAAAACTGCAACGGATGTTGAGTGATGATTGGTGACATTTTGACTGCTCTTTTGGCTATACAAAGCGCGGTATAACATGACTATTATACTGTATCTATTATCAGGCATTCTTGGTGTGCTTTTCGATCATTGAGTTTGTACGTGACAGTTGCAACTTCAGGAATACATGTGGGCGAGACCAGGAAGGGAACTTGAGCTCGGCACGCAGGATTTCATGGAAAATCCTCAGTGTTCAGCATGGATTCTGGTGCAAGTAGGCAAGAAGCTACTAGGGGCTCCTGGCATCGCTACTAGGAGCAAGGACGCTACTAGGGGCTTCTGGACGTACTACTAGGAACAAGGACGCTACTAGTAACCCTTTCCGGTCCACATCGACTCAGCAAGTTCACTGCTCAAGCGACCTGCAGTCTCTTGGGAACGCTGTGCACTAAGGCTGATGCTGGCCATGATTGGTGCAATTGCTCGCGAAAGGGAAGTTTCCGATGACCTCAAAGGACGGGACGCAACAAAGCATTCGGAGGGTGAGCTGTAATGGGTGATCTGTGGGTAGGCGCACAAGAATCAAGAGCAATCTGAAGTACTTTAGAGAATCTCTAGACTTCAGATGAGTCAAAACTGGGAAAGCCCAGGTGTAAATTGGATCTGAAAGGTATCCTCCTTGTCGCTTCGTGCAATCAAAATCCAAACACTTCCTGCGCCAAGGACAGCGCAAACTCGTAGAGGCAAATCCCAAGGCTCCACAAATCCGCAACGGTGGTGTGGCCCTAGCGCAGTGGGCCGCCAAGACGCGTTCGACTGAATTCGTAGAATGCTTGACGAGCTTGCTGACCCGAAAACAACATCGGAACCATCAACTGGTCCACTCTTCTTCAGGCCTTGCCCAGGATCATCTCCGGAGCCATGAACATCGGAGTTCCCTGAGTCGGATGGTTGACATGAAGGGGGCAATACGAGGCACTGTCTTTACGAACCAAGCAACCGCATGGGCGAACGCTACAACCGGGAATCGACATTACATATTTGTTCTGGATCACGTCGTTTACCTTGAGCATAGATTAATGCCCGGGGTTCATATCATGGTCCCGTCAACTAGCCGTTTACTATGGCGGAAGTAACATACCAGAGTAAATCTCAGAGTTGCATTGCAAAAGCAATAAGAACTAAGTATACTACAGTATTTTTTCGATTTGGGCGCTTTGAAGGTCAAAACGAGGATCGAATGCGGTCTGGGAGTGCCCACCAATATATTGGTACATGCTGGTCTTGACCCCGAATGCTACATAGGACCCTTTCTAGCGCAGCAACTTGTAGGCTAGAAGACAATCGATGCCACCCCATCAGCTATCGGATCTAAAACCCCCAAGGATTTCTGCAGATTTTCAGAAATCGATACGATTTCACTCGGTGGCAGTACTGTACAGGCACTCTCCAGTGGGTTCACACTGGTTCTCAGAATGTGAGGACCCACCATAGTGACATAAACCAATTCACTGGATTCTCGAAGAAAAGGAACGAACCATCTTTTGTATCCTTAAACAGTCAGGACTCAGGACCATCGACCTTTGGCCAGAACCTTCCACAACCACGCCCGCCTTGAGTGGGCCGTAACGGGTGTTGGTGATACGGCGAGCAATGCCAAAGTCAATGATCTTCAAGTAGCCCTGACAAGGCGAGGAAGTAACAGAAAGTAGATGAAATCGTCTCACCGGAATCTGAAGAATATGTTTCCCACATTTTTGCAAAACCTCTAGACTCTATATACTTTGATTGATGTGGCAAGCTTGAAACTGCTCGCCTGCTGGTCAATGAGGCAATTCTCGCTCTTCAAATCCAAGTATGCAATGCCTCAAATATCCAAAGGCTACGCCAATCTGCAGTTATATGATGTTATGATATGTTATGATGTGGAGATGCAGCCATGGACAGAAACATCTGAGTTACAGCTATTTCCTGCTTGGAGGTCTGAGAATGCCACGTCTGGCATGCAGGAACTCGAGTGCAAGGACAATGGACCCAGTGTAGAATAACGCCTGTTGGCGGGAAAGATCATGACTCTTGGGTGTTCATCCTGCGCACTTGACGCGTCAAATGCAAAGATCTCCCATGAAGGAAGCGACCCAAATGACGAAGCCCTCACAAAGCCATTTGGTCCGAACGTTGGCTCCCTTGGCTGCGAATCGGCGCAAGGCCCCTCGCCGCCTGGCTGTACTTGAGAAGTCCCAGAGAGTCCAAAGCATCAAGGAGCTCTCCACCGCTGACCAGTTCCATCAGGAAGTACACTCGACTCCTCAAGAAACATCAATGTCAATGACATCCCTGGAAAGTGAAGTTCTAAAAAATAAATTTGGTGTGGCGTCAACAATAAATCACCCAACATCCACTGTTTGTTGATTGCGGTCGCGGTGTCTTTTCAATGTCCTTTCAAGGAATTTAATTTGAGAAATGCGTGGCGCTTCCAGCTCAAAAGCTGTCTCTGCCCAATGCCAGTCCACTTGCTGGAACAACACAGGGCACGGCATTCAGAATCAACATCGACCGCTTGTCTGTGGGACTTGGAGAAATGAGACCGTATGGAATGACCCAACGACTGAGGCCAGCTCTCATTACGGAAGGAACGAACGAACTTGATGATGAATGGATGATCAACCTGGCCAATGCACCGAATTGTTCACTTGATGCTCATGGAAAACGGTGGTCAACCCTTCAGCGCCTCCTTCAATATGCTTAGCTCAGAAACGAGCGCATCTTGCACGTTCTTCTCCACCACGTCCCGCTTCCGCACACACTTCAGCGCGTACCTACCAGAATGATCGGACGGTTTGAAATTGGTAGAATCACATTGCTGATGAGGAGGAGCAGGAGCGTTGGATGGAATCTTCACTTTGCCGTATCTGAGTAAAAATACGCTTCCTACAGTATGCTTTGTTACTCTGCCCTGTTCACAAGACTGAAATCAATCAGATGTGGCCTGACGCCTGTCTTCTTCGCCCGCACCATCTTCACAATTCCGAAGCCCCCACGCCCAATGACGCGGACAAACCTACAAGGGTCCGGATCCAACCAGACCAAGTGTGCTAAGAACATGTTATGCGTTTACGGACACGAGATTTGTTTCACGACTCCTGGACTTGAACTCCAATCTTAAGAACCGCCATTTGCGGGGGTTTCCGAAGGTTTTGGAGCTGCACAGCGACATGGAGTATCATGTCCCCTCATGTCCTGTCCAATGTAGAAGAAACTATACAATTTCCAAGCTCCAACCCAGCAATCTTTGGTCTGCTGGAGCTGTGTGCTCTAGGCTTATGGCTCCAAGTCGGTGAACGTCAGGTTTGTGTCCTCAACAATGAGGAGACCACAAGCGAAAAGGACATGAGGGTGTAATGTCTATCCATCATCGTCGATGAATCTCACAACGCCGGGTCAATGAGCCTCATACCCTTCAACAGAAATTTACTGAAGCAGGTCCTGCAATGAGATGCGGTCTTTGAGGTAGTCCAGGCAAGGGCCCTGCCTGGTTGAAAGCTACAATATTCATTGGCAATGCCCAATGCTTGGCAATAGGTTTATCTGCGAAAACTTGCGTGGCAAAGTGTCCTTTGCCCGCAACATCAACAATGTAGAGACTAAGTTCTATCTCTCCAGGAACTCGTGCACCTCTTTCTTGCATCTTTGGAACTAACGTTCTTGACTATTCTCTCATGGTGTTCACTGGTAAGATCCTGGCATCATTTGATGGAAGGTTTCTTTGCCCATCTTCCACAGCTCGATATCCTGCCATCACTTCAACGGCTGACATGAGAACTCAGAACTCCTCGTCGATTAACCTGTTGAGTCCAACGATTTGAAGTTTGGCAGCGATAAAAAGACCTGAAGCCTCGCGACATACGTGAACATCTGAATAATATCATCTGAGTGTCCCTAGGCTGATATCTCAACCCGGGGGCTTTTGTAGTTATATTATAACAGGAACCTTGCGTGCATATCCAGCACATAACAACACTGCCGCCAACGCCTCCCAAACAAAGGGAGGGGGCAGCATCTATACCTTATAGCTCTAGACTTCTCTTAGAAAGAACACTTAGTCAATTCCTCTGCAAGGCCGTACCTTGCAAAGCCCGTACATTGCCGGGATTTAACACCGTCTCAAAGTCTCAGCCCACCAAAATACTATTCAGCTTTCGCTGATCTGATCAGAACTTCTGTGCTCTACCCCAAACTCACACCAAACTTGCTTGGTTTCCTGATGTTTCATGCGTCTTCATTCAACCAAGGGAACCAATAGGTCCTGAATGGTTCTGATCCACACCATCCATCAGCCATTTCAAACCAGGAACAAGAAGCTACTAGGGGCTCCTGGCATCGCTACTAGGAGCATGGACGCTACTAGGGGCTCCTGGCCGAACTACTAGGAACAAGAAGAACAGGAACTTCAAACGTCCAATGGATGCACTGTCCCACCCTTCATCGCATCCCATCCGTCGTCCTCTAGGGCCGCAATGCTGGCACTCCGGATCTCACCACCCAGGAGTGCTCGCTCCCCGAAGTAGTCAGGGTCCCCTAGCCTGGCGTGGGTGGACATGACGAAACTTCTAGTGGCGTCCTTGCTCCGTTCGTTTCGATGCCCTTTGTTACTAGTAGCTTCTTGCTACTGGTAGTAAGGCCAGGAGCTACTGGTAGCGTCCTGTGCACAAAGCAGTTGTTGGAGTGAAATGATTGGAGGCCAGGCAGAAAAGGGCCACAGGGCGAACCCCTCCCTGTGAGGGGTTCCAACTCCGGGCCCTCCTTCCGACAAGACGCTGGTCAGCGATAGACTCATGCACATGAGATGTTTGTACCAGCTTGGCATGTCCGCGGCATTGAAGCGTCAAAGCCAATCGCCGCCACTCAAGGCCTGCGCTTCACCCGACCATCAATCTCGACACTCACAGCTCCTTTGCGGATGATGTAGAAGTGCCTCAGTTTCATTGGATGGCATGGACTCGGACCTTCCGTTACTATTTCACCACAGGGCACACTGGCAAAAGAAACTCGCAGTACCACTCACTAGTGCAAACAAAGCACATGTAACAGGAGGAGCATCACTCTTGCAACATGTGCATAGATCCATGTCCTGTAAGTTTTATTGTTCGCCTGTATCACTATGAGGTGCACGCCTGCAATAGCAGAAAGTCTTGGTGGATACCTGTTGCCCTCTTGGAAGGACCCTGAGCTCCTGACGTTCCCTGATCCCCTTGAGAAAAGACCTCATCTTTGTTAACAATCGCAGGCGGTCGAAGTTTCCTTTGGCTTTGTCGCCAATTTGGCGGTCACGAAACCTCCAAGGTGATTCTTTGTGCCAGCTTTCTAGCCAAGCAAAGCCTGAGCTGATGATATTGCCTCTGTGCTTGTGAAAGTTTGTGAGCATATGCAATGAAACCTGTGAAACCTTGTTCCGGCGGATACCTGGAAAAGAAAACTGACCCTGGCCTGCGGTAGATTAGATCAATCTCGTTGGTTTAGAGCTCAATCTAGGGCTGAGAGACACTCTCTACGTTCTGAGCATCTAGCCCGGGCCCCCTTCTTGACCTTCTCGATTTCTAGAGCTGCGGCCAAGCCTTGGACATCAGGTGGTTTGTGGGATGGCGCACCCTTGAGAACCTCATGACCCATACTTGTCATATGATGTAACTTCGAATCATATTAAAAAATATATATACTTTCTGGAAAAAAGTGGATAGTGGAAGATCGAGCGCCCTTAGTTTGGGACACAGGTGAGTGGTCCTAGCAGAAGTCACTTCGGACAGAGGACTACTTGGGCCCAAAGTTCAGAATCATCCTGTCTATGAAGAGTCGGACGACCTGCCAGGCACAGTGGTCAGCAGTCGCACAGTGGCAAGGCCGATTGCAGACCCGATATCACCTATGAAAATCCGATATGGTTCTGCCTGGGACCTCCCACGTTTCAGCTGCTCCATCGAGAGTGTTGCGAAAATGAACACCGACTGAAGGCTTCTCACCTGTTCAAGATGGCTGGGAAGGGTTTGTCTTTGTGGACGAGTTGGACATTCCAAGAAAAGCAAGTAAGTGAAATGTCCAACACCATCTGCCATAGTCTGGATGGATAGTGCCATCTGCCATTGAAATCCTCCAAAGAGATGTCAGTGTAACATGCGATGCTCGATCTCCGATCCACGGGGCCCACGAAGATCCCCAAGGAAGACGGACGACGTGTCGCTTTCTCGGGGTTAAAGTATCACATGTGGTGCATTGAAGGCGCTAACTACCACATCTTCCAAGCAACTAAAGCATACTGAAGCTCTAGACAACTATGATCAACTATATGAATAGCTTCTCCCCACGCCAAAGATTCAGCCAGCGGTCCAAAACCCCAAACCGACTACAACTTGATTAATTTATCAAACAACTTGGACGTATTTGGAGGTTCGGTGTGAGGCACAACAGGCCTTGCTGTCTTGCTCGACGGCCCCATCAAAGTTCTCGAAGGCCAGGATACTGCCCAAGTCCTCAAGAGATGTTTTCGCGGCAGCAACTCGCAGAGGTGGTAGGCGGTTTGGTCAGAAACCCGGACACCTACTTGGCGGCATCGAGGCGTTTGGAATCGTTTGGACAGGATGCGATTGGGTAGTGTCGAAACCGTGGCAGGATAATCGATGACTTTTGCAGAACTGCTGTATTCGTTCGACATGGGCAAGATCTCATTGTGATCCCAATCTCTGCCCAACCAAACAATGTAAGCACCATCAATCATCAACTGGCCTGTCCCATGTCTTTCTTCCAGAACATTTCAATGCACAAGCGCGCTAATGATGACTGCAAACGAAAGCAGTGTTGCTTTTGTGCTGTCCTCCCGCTGCCAAACAGCAAGCTTGGAATCAGCCAATGATCTCACTTTCAAAGGTGCCAACCTCATTAATACAGGAATTCTCATGGCAAGTGGAAGTGAACTGTTCCTGTCTCTGCCTGTCTCTCCTCCACCTTTTGTGCTGAAAGGAACATCCCAAGAAGCAACGATACACTCGGGCTCTGGACTGATCGTTGTAGGGGATGCTGAACATGGTCGGCCTTGGCATCGCAAGCACAGTTGCCTTGGAGAACTACCCGGAATGAGGCAACAGGACAATAATCCTTGTCAAGAAACCTGCTCGCAACATTCTATAGCCATCCTTTCTTGTGGGGGATTTGGAAAAAGACACCAATTCCCTAGCAGTTTCCAGGGTTGAGTTTACTTTGCCCTCCCTGCAACGCATTTGGCATTTGTCAATCACACCACCTTTTCGCACACAAGTTTACCTAGTCTTAATTGACTGCGGCACTATTTTTACTTTACATATGACATCATATGACATATTGTTTACCCTGCATTTCTCTTGACATCACACTCGCAAACCCAACCAGGTGCCCCAGCGATGCGCCCGTGAGATTTTGCGTGCCGATGTCGTCCAAAGTGAGCTCCACTTCACCGTTGAGGGCAACCATCACACGGACATCCTGCGCTCCATGTTCTGAGGTGGGAACCTCAAAGGTTGTGGGATGGTCCCAAATTTGTGGAAGCACCCTCAGAGGAACATTTGCAGCATGTAGTGGTATACACAAAAGAATCATAAAAGCCATCTACACCTCGGACTGATCAGCCCTGTGACCCGATCGGGGTCCTCCCAGTTGTGCTCTGAACCTGGCCGGTTTGTGTGCGATAATGTTACCTGTTACATCCTGTTACAATGGATGTGGCCAGACACCCCGGCTACAGAAGTCTCACTAGCAAAATAAATCATACTAGTAGCTTCTTGTTACTAGTAGCGATGCCAGGAGATACTAGTAGCGCCCTTGCTCCTAGTAGCAATGTCCTTTGTTACTAGTACGTAGCTTCTTCTTACTAGAAGCAAGAGATGGCAAATGCTCTAGCCTATTTTCTATAGCAGTCCACCCCAAGACACAAATGATTCGGCTCAGGGTCTCCCATCCGACCAATTCGGAGCTGATGGTTGGTCACCCTTCAC